GTTTTTTAATACAATTGACCCCTGTGACCTTGAATATAATTGAAGGTCATTCATTTGAACAAACTTGGTAGCCCTTCACCCAAGCATGCTACTGGCCAAATATCATCTCCCTGGGCATTTTGGTTATTGAGAAGAAGATGTTTAAAGTTTTTGACATATTTGACCCCTGTGACCTTGAAAATAGGTGAAGGTCATTTATTTGAACAAACTTTGTAGCCCTTCATCCAAGTTTGCTTCTGGCCAAATATTGACACCCTAGGCCTTTCGGTTATTAAGAAGAAGTCGTTTAAAGTAAAATATTGACGCCGGACGCCGGCCGGATGGCCGGACGGACGGACGACGGACGGACGGACGACGGACGCCGCGCCACGGCATAAGCTCACTTGGCACTTCGTGCCAGGTGAGCTAACAATGAATGTAGGATTATATAGCTATTTAAATGTTTAAAAATAAAAGGCAGAAATTTCTAGGAAAATTAGCTTATGAAAATAATGGCAGAATCAAAGTGTATCTGCATCTGATGATAAATCAGTGTATTTGATTTGAAAGTAAATCATGGAAAATGTTCACCTAGTTATATGTAAAGGCATCTGTTAAGAAAGGACAAAACTCCAGTTAAAACAAAATGAAAATGACTCTTTTTAATTAAAAAAGTTATTGGTCAATATTGAAAATATTGATTCAAGATATGCACCGATACGAGTGATAGCACCCTACAATGTTACACCACCATATATGTGGTACCTCACACTTACCATTGCAAACTGTCGTTTTGCCCTTTTCTTCAGTATCACATTCTTTTTGACCAAGGCCTTGAATTGGCCAAAAAATGACACCTCCATCTTCAGTTTGTGTAAATATTCAGCTTTGGGTCTGAAAAAGAAAGAAACAATGATTTAAAACAATATCGTGATAACAACATATTGCAAACGTTTTATTGTGTTTAAAATTACATGTACTTTCATTATTTATTTCTGCTTTAGAAAAATAACAGTCAATCATTTTGAACTCCACACTATCTAATACCCCCTTTACACAGGATAGCGACCATTGCGCAACAACCATAAAACTGACCAGGTCGCCCTTGTAGGTACAAAGGAGGCCCAAATGCTTGCCTAGGTTGTTCTAAAGTGGTACACAGGATGTTCAGACATTGCCCTGGATGCCATGGTCACAGTAAATTATTTAACATGTTCAAAACAGTCACAAAAAGGTTGCCGAGAAGGTTGCTTGCTCAGAGGTGGCTCAAATGAGGCAGAAGGGAGGCACAAGCATTGTCGCTCATAGGTGGTATTAAGGTTGCAACCCTGTGAGAAGTGAGCCTAAACTATCACACAGTGACAGATTCAGAGGCATAGTAAACACCATGCCATGGACATAAGAACCCCCACCCCAACCAGGGCATCAGTCATGATTGGCATCAACTGTCCCTGGCCACCCCTACACTCCTCACCAGATCAGTATCTGTCCCCCTCCCCTACACTCCTCACCAGATCAGTATCTGTCGCTGGCCACCCCTACACTCCTCACCAGATCAGTTTCTGTCCCTGGCCACCCCTTCACTCCTCACCAGATCAGTATCTGTCCCCCCCCCCTACACTCCTCCCCAGATCAGTTTCTGTCCCCGGCCACCCCTACACTCCTCACCAGATCAGTTTCTGTCCCTGGTCACCCCTACAATCATCACCAGATCACTTGCTGTCCCCCATCACTACACTCCTCCCCAGATCAGTTTCTGTCCCTGGCCACCCCTACACTCCTCACCAGATCACTTTCTGTCCCTAGCCACCCCTACACTCCTCACCAGATCACTTTCTGTCCCCCACCACTACACTCCTCACCAGATCACTTTCTGTCCCCCACCCCTACACTCATCACCAGATCAGTTTCTGTCCCTGGCCACCCCTACACTCCTCACAAGATCACTTTCTGTCCCCTGCTACCCCTACACTCCTCACCAGATCAGTTTCTGTCTATGGCCACTCCTACACTCCTGACCAGATCTGTTTCTGTCCCCCGCCACCCCTACACTCCTCACCAGATCACTTTCTGTCCCTGGCCACCCCTAAACTCCTCACGAGATCAGTTTCTGTCCCAGGCCATCCCTACACTCCTCACCAGGTCCCTTTCTGTCCCTGGCCACCCCTACACTCCTCACCAGATCAGTTTCTGTCCTTGGCCTCCCCTACACTCCTCACCAGATCAGTTTATGTCTCTGGACACCCCTACACTCCTCACCAGATCAGTTTATGTCTCTGGCCACCCCTACACTCCTCACCAGATCAGTTTATGTCTCTGGTCACCCCTACAATCATCACTTGATCACTTGCTGTCCCCCATCACTACACTCCTCACCAGATCAGTTTCTGTCCCTGGCCATCCCTACACTCCTCACCAGATCACTTTCTGTCCCTGGCCACCCCTACACTCCTCACCAGATCAGTTTCTGTCCTTGGCCACCCCTACACTCATCACCAGGTCACTTTCTGTCCCTGGCCACCCCTACACTCATCACCAGGTCAGTTTCTGTCCCTGGCCCGCCTATACTCATCACCAGATCACTTTCTGTCCCTGGCCACCCCTACACTCCTCACCAGATCACTTGCTGTCCCCCATCACTACACTCCTCACCAGATCAGTTTCTGTCCCTTGCCACCCCTACACTCCTCACCAGATCAGTTTCTGTCCCTGGCCACCCCTACACTTCTCACCAGGTCACTTTCTGTCCCTGGCCACCCCTCCACTCGTCACCAGATCAGTTTCTGTACCTGGCCACCCCTACACTCGTCACCAGATCAGTTTCTGTACCTGGCCACCCCTACACTCATCACCAGATCAGTTTCTGTCCCTAGCCACCCCTTCACTCCTCACCAGATCAGTTTCTGTCCCTGGTCACCCCTACACTCCTCACCAGATCTCTTTCTGTCCCTGGCCACCCCTACACTCTTCACCAGATCACTTTCTGTCCCCCTCCCCTACACTCCTCACCAGATCACTTTCTGTCGCCCACCACTACACTCCTCACCAGATCACTTGCTGTCCCCCTCCCCTACACTCATCACCAGATCGCTTTCTGTCCCTGGCCCCCCCTACACTCTTCACCAGATCACTTTCTGTCCCCCTCCCCTACACTCCTCACCAGATCACTTTCTGTACCTGGCCACCCCTACACTCCTCACCTGATCAGTTCCTGTTCCTCTCCCCTTCACTCCTCACCAGATCAGGATTTGTCCCTGGCCACCCCTACACACCTCACCAGATCACTTTCTGTCCCTGACCACCCCTACACTCCTCACCAGATCACTTGCTGTCCCCCTCCCCTACACTCATCACCAGATCGCTTTCTGTCCCTGGCCCCCCCTACACTCCTCACCAGATCACTTTCTGTACCTGGCCACCCCTACCCTCCTCACCAGATCACTTGCTGTCCCCCATCACTACACCCCTCACCAGATCAGTTTCTGTCCCTGGCCATCCCTACACTCCTCACCAGATCACTTTCTGTACCTGGCCACCCCTACCCTCCTCACCAGATCACTTGCTGTCCCCCATCCCTACACTCCTCACCAGATCAGTTTCTGTCCCTTGCCACCCCTACCCTCCTCACCAGATCAGTTTCTGTCCCTGGTCATCCCTACACTCCTCACCAGATCAGTTTCTGTCCCTGCCCCCCTACACTCATCACCAGGTCAGTTTCTGTCCCTGGCCACCCCTACCCTCCTCACCAGATCACTTGCTGTCCCCCATCCCTACTCTCCTCACCAGATCAGTTTCTGTCCCTGCCCCCCTACACTCATCACCAGGTCAGTTTCTTTCCCTGGCCCGCCTATACTCATCACCAGATCACTTTCTGTCCCTGGCCCCCCCTACACTCCTCACCAGATCATTTCTGTCCCTGATTACCCCTACCCTCCTCATCGGATCAGTTTCTGTCCCTGGCCACCCCTACGCTCCTCACCAGATCACTTGCTGTCCCCCATCCCTACTCTCCTCACCAGATCAGTTTCTGTCCCTGGGCATCCCTACACTCCTCACCAGATCACTTTCTGTCGCCCACCACTACACTCCTCACCAGATCACTTTCTGTCGCCCACCACTACACTCCTCACCAGATCACTTTCTGTCCCTGGTCACCCCTACACTCATCACCAGGTCACTTTCTGTCCCTGGTCACCCCTACACTCATCACCAGGTCACTTTCTGTCCCTGGCCACTCCTATATTAATCACCAGGTCAGTTTCTGTCCCTGGCCACCCCTACACTCGTCACCAGATCAGTTTCTGTACCTGGCCACCCCTACACTCCTCACCAGATCATTTCTGTCCCTGGTTACCCCTACACTCCTCACCGGATCAGTTTCTGTCCCTGGCCACCCCTACACTCATCACCAGATCAGTTTCTGTCCCTGGCCACCCCTACACTCCTCACCAGATCACTTTCTGCCACCAAGTTATTAATGAATGATGGAAACATTTGATCTTAACATGATTGGGCTTGTACAAAATAAAGTCAATATATATATCCCATATATATTTCCCTGTGATTACGTGACCCACATAATGTGAGAGAGTTATCCTAATCAGTACATGGTCACCTACTTGTTACTGTATCATCTAAGAAGTCTACACATCTTCAATGTTGTAAACTATGGCAACAAGATTTTCCATAGCTCTAACTTAAACATTAAAACATTTTAAGAATAGTGTTTAATAGATTATTTTTAACTATCATTAATTTATCCCTTGTATTGACACAAATGTAGCACTTCACTGCTCTCAGTAATTAACTTGCTGTCTATTTTGAATCTTAATTAACTCTTATTTATTGACTGTCGTCCCCAGGTTCGACAGGTTTGTAATATCAGAGATTTAGTACAGGTCACTTGCAAGTATACATTCCTGAAGCAATCTTCGTTGGCTGGTTGGTAGGCGGTAAGGACGGAACATTGGGACATTTGGTCAATTATTAATTGGGTGTAATATTTATTACATCATATACATCACACTTAAACACTAACAGTTTCATGCATCACCTGTGATATTGATTAATAGTTCAATAATTGTGCACACATTATCGTCAATATTTCAAGTCAGCCAAACCTTATGTTGATGTGTTAAAAGATGTATGTAATTATTATAATTGATATAATACTGATGGTATGTAACTATAAAATTAATACAAATATTAACAACAAAATAGACGAACATACAGCAGCAGTCTATAGTATGGAACTCGACTTACCTTTAACATTCTAGCTGTGTGTTATCTACCCATGTGTGACACATGTACCTGTATCAGTGTGTATATATATAATAAACAGACAGGTATTTCCCAATGCTTGCATTTCTCAATCATTTAATCACATGATTGTGAGAGGTAGCATATTTTTGTACATAGAAACTACAGGGATTATCAACTTCAAATGACCAGCCACAACAAAGCTAAGATTGGCAATTCTAGCAAAAGTTTATACAGAATTGTGTCTGCATGGAGAGGTCAGAATATGGGACAAATTTCACAATGGTTGTTTACCTGTGTTGGTTGAGACAGTTTGATATTTACTCTATATTTGTGTGAAGCTACTTTACCAATGAAAGGTCAAAGCCTGAAAAGAACATAGCTTTTACTAATCTCTGATATTTACTCGATTCAGAATAAGATAAGATAACCTTTATTTAAATTCGGCAAGTCAAGGAATAACAACAAGAGACCCTGAAAGAGCTTAGTACCTACCATCAAAGGAAACTTAACATCATTTTATGTCAGCTAAGAATTTTTGTTACAAGACCATATCTGATTGATGATGCTTCCTGTGTATGTGGTGCACAGAGGGAATATCTAATACATTTTGTCTTTCATTGTCCTCTGTATTCAAATATTAGGCATCATATTACTATAAGGATATTTAAATCTGCACTGTTTATTATATGGTATTGATAATGCATCTGACCAATTAAATAAAACTATTCTTATACATGTTGACTTTTATATCAAATCATCAAAATGTTTCGTTACTTATACAAGCTAGATAAATTCCAAATTAATATTCATGTATTGTTATCATTATTATTATTCAGACAAGTTTTGTCCCTTAAACAATGAGTATTAGACATAAGCTGGTGTGGGTGTGGGTGTGCATGTGTGTGAGAGGAAAACAAATTACAACATTCTATATATTTAAGCATTGTACATAGCTACCGGAAATAGAAGAAGACTGATGTAAGCATAGCATGTTGTCTAATTCTTTTGTCAATACTGTTCTAATATCTTCTTTAATGTTAACTTATATGTTTGTATTATATATGTATTGTCAATAAAATACTTTTGAAATTGAAAAAAACATCAAAGGATCTTTATCAGATCTACAAAAACAGGATCTTTTACCTTCTTTGCTCTGAATTCAGTTCATTACAAGTACTATTACCAAGTCCCATTTTGGAAATCCTAAACAGGAATCTTTTACATTAACTTAGAAATGCTGTCAACGACGGATGACTTCACACTAAGGCCAGGGATATTTTAGACAAAGCGACAATTTTTCTTAATTAAAGTTGGCTGCCTGGGGGCCATCCTGGTTTGTTTATCAGTCCAAATGTTCATTATGCATATGGAACCTGAGAGCGATCCCAAGGTCTAGTACTTTCTGAGAAATAATGCTAACAAACTTTAGCTCTCAAAATTCAAGATGGCCACCTCTCAATTATACATGATAGTGCAATACTGCCATACTTCAATAATGATCAACTACCATTTGTAGACACCCTGACCCCCATATTCAGAGGTAAATCACAAGAATTAAGTTTTCAGAAATATTTGTAACCATTTTCTGTAGGAGTTTGATTTTGTATTACTGGTAGATAAGAACAAGTGATTCTAAAGATTCATTCGATATGTAACAGGAAAGGAAAATGCAATGGCCAGGTCAGGCTTTGAACCCAGGTCCTCCTAACTCTAGATGGACGTTGTAACTAACTGAGCAACCTGGTCCCCAGTGATTGACCCAGTCCAGTCCCCTATATTTATCCTGTCTTCAATAAGACTTTTACCCAAAGACACGTGAGACTATATACTACTTTCATGGGGTACATTGGTATAAATATACATGTTACAATGAGTAGTAATTTGAACAGTTAAAACATTAGCTGCTGATACATCAAATATTCATTCTGTGAATCACAATATGATGAATTTGGTCGATAGATTATTAATATAATAAATCATCATCTTAACAGTATGACAAATACATGATTTTATTTCTTACACTTTCAATACTGTAAAGGTTTTTGAGAGAGCATTTATATATTTCACATGCATGGTTTAAATCATTAGGCATCAAATAAAATATCAAATTATACATTGTTATAGAACAAATAAAAGTTTTGTTACATTACAGATGCAGTAGAATAACAAATAGACCATAACTTTGATTCTATAATTCATTGTATACTTTCCCATTTGAATTCATTTCATACTACATACAGGTCCCGAACACCAACCAACCTTCCACGTTTTTTCTATTCTAAGGGAAATAACTCTAATGTCATTTTCAGCAATTTTTATTTTTTGGAGTAAGGTCGTTATAGATCTGGGTTCTTTCAAGATTGACTGATTTGCTGGTTGTATTTTACAAGTTTTGACTTTATACAGTGTCATATAGTAAACTAGAAAATGTCTGTAAGACGTAAATGCCCCTGCTGCCATGTGAAATTAGTTTCAGTGTTCTATAAAAAGTTACAACCACTTTGATCTTGATACCCTGAAACATGCACACACAAAAGGTAATACTGTATTTTACCGCAAGTAAGCCCCCTCTGGCAAATAAGCCCCCTCCTCACTTTGGTAAATGTCCTGGGAACAGGGTGGGTGCCCGCAATTAAGCCCCCTCCCTAATTTTGTCTCCATCTCAAAAAAAATGTATGTCATTTTTTGTCTCTGACTTAAGCAAATTAGCTAAATGGTTTTGTGTTAATTCAGCCTTGTATACTCAAATTTCTTCATAGTACGGTTTATATTCAAATCATGCAATGGCGCTGCTATTAATAAAATTGAATTATTGAGACAAATTGATGATAGAAAATAAGTTAAGAAAAACAACAGCACCATCAATTAAACAACTTTTGGTGACAGTTATAAAGTATTCTGTCTTTTAAATGTTATTTTTACAACTACAGTAGATAAGTACAGTAGATAAGTACATGCTATTTAGTGTGGTCATAGATCGAAACAGTGGTATATATCCAAGATGACGGACATTTGTGAACAGGGGGGTTGCTCGCA